TTTTAAAAAAAAAGGAAAGCAAATTATTGAAATGAAAAATTTTGTTATATTTGAGAAAAAAAAAAATGTCCAATTTAATGAATTCTTTGTAATATCTATCACACAATGACAATATAAAATATCTTAAAATAATGATACAAAATGTTGTTTAATTAAAATGAATATTTTACAAATGAATATATCGAACATTCTTCCTTTTCCACATAAAGAATCGCATCCAATTTATAAATTTTACTACAAACAATTAAAAAATTTTATATCCAATTAAAGATATCAAAAGAAAAATTGATGAAAAAAAAAACTTAGATTTCTCAACTAATGATAGATACAGTATACTGATAAAAATAAATTAAATATATTACTGAAATGATTTTGATACTGAAATGTTTATGCAAATATATAAGCTAATGCTTGTACTAATTATAAATTGAACTGAAATGAATTCCGTTGGATAATTTGAAGTATTTATGCTTAATAAGGCGCATTTTTGAGCAACCTGATTGAATGCTTAAATGAACAAATAATGAAAATAATAAATGTAATATGAAAAGAAAGGTGTTAAATGCAACAGATCCACGAATAAGATTTAATTGATAACTGGAATTTCTTTTTCCGCTTTTGATTATATTCCCCTCAAGTATTTGTCCACATCAATGGATGGATGTATCGATGTATGAATATGAATATTGAACATAAAACTACGGAAAATAAAGCCAAATTATTTCCTTACTCAATTAATAATCAACTGATAAGAATTGATAATCATGTTTGATAGTTGATTATCAAGAATTAAGTAATGCATAAGCTTTAAGGTTGTTAAAATGAATGGATGAGTTTTGCAATATTTAACATTTATTATCAGTTTAACAAATATGCTTATCAGTAAAAAAGTAAAGGTTTGAAAAGCATAGCGTGATAAATATTTGAACAGAATGTCTTCAGAATTTAAATGATGTTTTAAAATTGTTCGCTAACTTTGTATCTTATATAAAGATGATGTGAGCGAAAAGGGAGGTAATTAAAAATCAAATTAATTGCGCGAACTGCTCTGCGCAATGAAATTAAAGGTAATAGCGGAAAGGTGCACAGAAGCTTTTCGTTCTGTTAATTCAGTTTCAATCCATCGTCTTTATTTTACACTTTGCTAAAATAATCTAAAAAATTATTTCAAAACAAATGAAAAAATAAACCATCTATCACATCCATACTTGTGACAAAAAAAAAAAAAAGTTAAATCCGCCATCATAATAAAATACGAGTTTTGCTCTTACAATATTCCAAAAATAACAAATGGTTGTGAATAGGGAAATGAATGAAAGAAACAAACTAACAATAAATATCTAATTTAAATTTTAAAATTTAATTTCAAACAAACTGATAAAAAAATAAGAAATTAACAAGAATTATCAGTGAATATTTTTTATTTCAAATCTTCCATTTTCATGCTAAAATATACGCTTTGTTAAATTCTTTTTCTCTTTATTTTTTGCAAAAAAAAAGTGAACTAATTCTTTTGTTCAATTTATGATAAATTTGTTATAACTTGTAAATTTGTCGTTATTGATAACGTATGGCCAGTGATAAGCCTAAAGCCAGTGCTGTTAACATTATACAGATAAATTTCGATAAATTAAATTTTTATTTGTTTTTATTAATCAAAAGAAATCATTTGAATGGACGAAAAGAGTTGTAAGAAAAGCAGCAACAATTTTTTTTTTTTGTGAACTTTTCCACTTCGTTTCTATCTAATTTTTTTTTTTTAAATCCCTATTAATTTTTCAATCAGTTCATTTAGAATTGAATTTAAACCTTGTCATTCATCATTCTGAAATGAAAGCTTTCAAATTTTCAATTCTTACTTATGACAGAATGAAGTAATCAAGTATAAATCCAAAAAGAACACAGGAAGTTTTGACTTCTAATGAATGCCACACTTGGAAAAAAAAATGAAATCTAAGCAAGCGTTAATAATTTTTTGTTATGCTGACATAGGAATGAGAAGAAATGAATTTTTAAAATTTTTAAAAGTGTAATTCTTTAAGAGAGAAGTTTTCAAACTCAGTTTTAATTATTTTGCAATTAATAATTGTAATATTTAATAATGAAATATGCCTTGTGAGTGCAGGTAAAAGTATAATTTAATAGAAAAACATGTTTGTAAACAATGTCTAATGATCAAATCTCTCTTTTATTTTCTTGTCTCATTGCTTTTCGTCAACTATTATGACACATTCCTAAAATACTCGTTATAAAAATTAAATTTTCCAATCACTAATCGATATATTTTGCCGAAATTATCAATGCATTTTCATGATAATATATCATAAATTTAAAAAACCTACACATTCATTGATAAAAATTGAGTAAAACGATTTGGAAATGAATTATTCATTCGTCTTCATTGAAGAAAAATTCTTTTCTACTTATAATTCTCTTTTTTTTTTATTTGTAGCAATCATTTTCATATTTGAAATGGCCATTTCAGTATTTGTACTTACCATAATAATTACTTTAATATTCGAACCTACCTGAACAAAGTCACCTTAATATCACCTTTAACAATTACCCTAATATTTAAATTTACCTTAACAATGACCTCAATATTCGAAATTAATTATAATTACACTTATATAATATTATTAAATATTACAAGTTAAAATATATTTTGTCTTATTTTTCAGTAAAATTAATGAAGGATAAATGTATGAAAATGTTTGTTTTACTTGATAATCGTTAGATTGATTAAAGAAAAAATAAATTGTGTTCTAATAACTATGATAATGATAATAGTGTAAAAAATGATAACAGACACATATACATTTAATTTTTTTTATAATTATGAAGGGTGAATTCATTGTTAAATATTAATATTATACATCTGTATTGCTTATCATTCATGGAATTGCAAAATGCATTCTGCATGCATGGTTTATTGATAAGACCAACAGAAAGCAATGATTACAGTATGAGTATTCCAATAACACTTCTTCCTTTTTTTTTTGAAATAT